ATGGAGAAATTACTCCATTCCTCCTTGGAGATCACTCCACTAATTCTTTAGGCCTACCAAAAGTCCCTGCTCTTGCTTGTTTGATTTCACTGTTTTATCGCTACAACAGGATTGTAAACTACCTGAGATTAGGGACTAGATAAAGCCTTCTCTTTCTTTGTATCCTGCAACAATGCCTAGCACAATTTTGAGTACATCATAATTATTCAATACTTTTTGATTAATTTCTTGGCATCATTTCAGAGCATTATTTCACTGATTGTTACCAAAAGGGAAAAAAATCCTCAGCCTTGTTCTGTTTTAGTAATTCTGGGTTTTAGTCCTCATGTTATTCATCTTCTAGGATTAAAGATAATCAAGCCTATCTGCATTTACAATTTTGTGGAAATCGATATACTATATCTGAGGAGGTGATTTGATTGGGACATGACACGAATGCTGCAGTCTGAGAACCAACCTGAGTCATCACCCACATCTGTTTTCATTTGTTGAGATTTTTTTTTCTTTAGTTCTTTATCAAATGGCTGAGTGCTAAACTGCTAAACTGTAGCATTTTCTTTTTATGCTTTCTCTAGAGTTAGTTTATGCTGATGTTATTGATGTTCCCACCATTCCCAAAATAGTATAAAATACTACTTTGTGTTTTATGTTTTGCAGGTCTCTGTTCTCTTCCTCTGAACCACTACTATGTTCTTTGATTCTAAAGACCATTCTAAATTTCTAAAATTAATTATTTGCAATTACACTTAGAAATTCTTCATAGCTGTTTGGTTCCATGATCTCAAAGACCTAACATCATAACCTTGTTCTCATGGCATTTCTATATTGTCATCTTTCTGGGTAGAGAAACTAAATCTAAGAAGAAAAAAATAAGACCAGTTTATAGTCATTTTCAAATCAAGATAGTAAAAAAGATGAAAAACAAACACTCGTGCCAAATTTGCAGTTCATTTGGGTCTCTGTGGATTATGTCATTCGTTCATAAAATGTACAGTACTCTGTACATACTAATATAATTCACTAATTTTAGCTCAGAGCTGTTATCCATTGCAACTTAAAGGTTTAGGATTTTTAAATTTTATTTACTTGAAAGGTATATGAGTCATTTTTTCTTCATAACAGGCACCCTTAAAATTGCAGGGGCTTAAATAACAAATATTTGCTTTTCTTGCCTGCGGCTACACAGGTTATTTGGGATGGCATTCCTTCTGGCTACAGGTTGAATTCAGGTCTGCTCCACATGTCTCTCTGCTTCGTACTAGCAGCTACCAGACATGTTCTTTTTGTGGGCAGTGGCAGGAGTGCGAGAATACAGGCCAAATCACCCAAGCACATTTAAAGCCTCTGCTCACATTGTGTGTGCTAAAGTTTTGTTGGCCAAAGCAAGTCAGTGGCCCAGCTCAACATCAGCAGAGCAAGGTGTATACTCAGTTTGTAGCAGGAGACAGTGCAGACTTACAGGGCAAAGAATCTGGATATAAAATCTTACAAAAGGAGAGTGAAAATTTGGGGGGAATGATCCAGTCTCCCGCTGTAGGGAAGCTCACCATTAAAACAATCATAATTTGCCAATATAGTCCTGTGGACTGTAGACATGAGAATACTATTTTAATGGGTAGCTTATATCTTATGTGACTACGTTATTTTACAAATTCTCCATGCTCTAAATTTCTTTCAAAAACACCCCTTTAATCCAAAGTGGTCTTTTAGTAGAAATGAGTATAAGTAGAGAAGATTGTGATATTAATTGCCTTCTATGCCTTGTTCAAGAAAGAACTGGAAATGATTGGAAAAATTTAAGGGATAGATTAAAAGGAAATAGGGTAGAAAACTGCCTAAGTAAAGGCATTCTTGTAAATAAACTACTGAGATATAAGTTAAGCACTTCAAATTGAAGTGGAGTTAAGCTAGATTAACTCATAATGTAGAGGCTGATTTCTGAGACTCAGAAAGGCTAAATTAAAGTATTTGCTGTTAGATAAGTAGGGAGAAAGTTCAAAAGTAGTGTGTTATGATCTTATGATTACCTAGCAACCTAATTAAAGTCGATTTTAATATAATGTTTCATAAATGTAAGAATAAATTTGTATGTTGTTAATGCCTACTATATTCTGCAGTGGAAGTAATACTTCCCTAGAAACGCTTTCCTTCTTGAAGTAATACTTGGGTGTGCCAGCTTTATTTGCTTACGTTTTATTGCTTTATCCTTGAGTAGAAAACATCTTTTTATT